TCAGCGCTGGCTTCAGGCCAGAATCCCACTAAACGGACTGCACTGAACTGCCAGTCAAACCAGTAGAGACACATTCACATGCAGACAGAGCACAACACACGTCACACACACACACCGGTGAGATCACTACAGCACAGAGACGAGACACTCACACTCGCTAAAACAGCCTTACAGTAACACTAATGCAACCTTCATTCAGAGTTCACATAAACAGTACTTGTACATCATTCATGGTCATGGAATGTTTTTCTGAAACATTTTAGCTCGACGTGTCTAACATTGTAACTGCTTGTTTCAGAACGTTCAGAGAACATTAAAGTAACGTTCCTTTAATACTTACAAAATGATCAAATGAAATGTTCCCTTAACAGTTGTATAATCAATAAAAAAAATGAATAAAACATTTATAATCACATCGGACTCTCTTTATTTCTTCAAAAGAACATAAAAGAAGAATGTTTGGAACCAAACAACATCTTTTGTGAATCACAGAAGAAAGAAAGTCACAACGTAAGGGTGAGTAAATGATGACAGAATGATCTTTTTTGGGTGAAATATCTATTGAATTCTCTGGTTTAGCCAAAATAAGCATAGCTGCAATATGTTTCTAAGTCCAATTTCCAACAAAATAACTGTTAGTGTGATCTATATTGACTCCTGTTGTGATTTAAAAGCATCGTTCACCCAAAAATCCCCATTCTGTCATCATTTTCATGCCAAAGACACTCTTCGTTCTTCTGTGGAATATAAAAGATGATATTTTGAACAATGTTTGGAACCAAACAACACTGGAACACACCGACTTTCACCATATGGACAAAAACACTGGAACATTTCTCCTTTAGTGATTCACAGAAGAACAAGTCATAAAGGTTTGAACAACATGAGGGTTGAGGGAGCAAATGATGAACTGTACCTTTAAGAGGCAAGAGATGTCAAATCCATGCTGTTTGTAAAGTTTCAGAGTGTTTGGTTGAAGGGTTCGGGTTTGTTTCACATGATCACAGACGCTGAAAACAATAAATGCTCGTTAAATGAAAGCTGTGCATTCAGGAATCCTCGTTTCTCATCCTCTCAGCTTTCTATCCATGCAAACCTATATCTGTGCAAAAGCAGCGACAAACTCATGATTAAAAAATGATCTCCGCCAGCAAACACTCATCACACTCATGCATTTTAATCAAAAACCAGATTTAAACATTGTCTAATGAATGCGAGCCGTGTTTGGCCTGTGCATTCAATGCATCTGATTACATAACGAGAAGAGATGACGTCTAACGAAATGCCTTTAACGCATCATTGCATTCAATAAACGCTGATATTTGTATTGAGTGTCTCACTGATCGTCATCTCAGGAGAACAGACAAAAAACTCTAAAACACCAAAACATATGCACAGAATATTCCACTGCAAGCGCGGCGGAGGAGCCAATTAAAAGTGCTGGAAAGTTTCTGACCACCACACTTAGGCTTAATTAAAGGATTCGCAGGTGTCGTGTGAAATAATTGCTGTACGTTTCTGTTTCCTACACTCCATCTGTTCTCTCACGCACACAGAATGCTCTCGGTTCGAGGGCGCTTATTATAAATAATAAAATGAAATATTTGAATGAAATGAAATACAAATGTATATAGGAAGGTTTTCTTCAGCATTCACATAAGGTTGCAAAATTTAAAGCACAACATGATTTTTTTAATTATTATTCATTAACTTTTTAAAAAACTAATACACTTATTATTACTTATTAACTTTTTGCATAGAGGGAAAAAATCGCTGAATATGAAAATAATTAAAAATGTAAAAACATTACATTAAATTATATGCCTCTATGATATGTATATGTATGCATAATGTATGACAACTAAAGGTTACACTTTATTTTAAGGTGTCCTTGTTACAGTGTAATTACACATTTAAGTACTGAGTAATATTAATGAACTACATGCACTTACTGTATGGTTAGGGTTAGGATTAGGGTTTGGTTCAGGGTTACTTGCATGTAATTATGCATAATTTATTGCTATTATAATAGTAAATACATGTAACGTGTCACAAGGACAGCTTAAAATAAAGTTACCCAACTAAACAATATGTTATTTTAAAATACTATTCAGATTCTTTTGTTCAAAGTAACCATCCAAAGAGGATTTAAATTGATATGAATGTAAAATTGTTAAAACAGTATCAATTTAATTGCTAGTTGTTTTAGTAACTTTTCGGTTGTGTTTGGAGTTCATCGTCTTCTCCGTGACAGGCCGTGTTGCTATTGTTAACTAAAACTAAAATTGAGTTTGATAATTGAAATAAAGCTGAAATAAAATAAAATATTGAGTGAAAAAAAAAGTTAATTAAAATTAGAATTTTTGCCTTGGCGACTAACTGAAAATAAGTTTAAGCTGAAGTACAAAAACTACTAACTACAAAAATAAACGCATACATATATGGGTCAAAGACGTTAAGATGTCCGCATCAAAAGAAATTTACAAAAGTGATTTTATGTCCATAGAAAGCACATTAGATGTAAGTAAAGTGTCGACTTTTAAGGTTTTAAAATAGTTTTTGGAGGATAAAATGTTACAATTTGATTGAAATAATGTTACATTGTCACACAATATTTATGTAAAAATTCAAACAACATGCTCATTCTGACTTGTACATATTAAAATATATATGAAAGAATGAGTGAGCATATTACATTTTATTTGGGTTTTAAATGAGTAAAAATTCTTACTGACAAATGGGCAAAACCTAGGATAGTGGCAAATTTAAAAAATGTAAAATTACAGCTAATTAGTATTTGGGGTGAAAGTAATTAGTCTTTTAATATGTCATAAATTGATTTTTGTTGTAAATATGCCTGGCAAGATTATTACACTGAATGACATTTTAGTGGGTCTCTCCTGTAAATCAGGGGAAAATGTATGATATTTATTTTTTGCTCAGAAACACAAAAACAAAAATACAATTAGATTAAACAGAAAACTTTTTAATTTTGGGGGGGAAACAACAACAATTTAAAGCAGTATTACACTTATTGTTTTTATGCTTAAACCCTTTCTCTTCTTTGACCCACATACATAAAAACTCCAACACTGAATGCACACGTGTGTCTAAAAGCAGACCATCTGAGCTGCTCTCCTCCACATTCATCTTTGTTTCTGCTGAAGGAGTCTCCAGAGCACTGTTGCTCTCCTCTCACACGCCTGCTTTATTTGATTTACAGGCCGGAATAATAATAATACAGCCGCCACTGGATGTCAAATATCCTGCAGTGCTTCTATAATTGGATTAAAGGCCAGAAACTCTCTGTTCAACATGAACACCTGAGATGAGTCAAATCCACCGCATGAGAGAGAGCTGATGGAAACAGTGCTGATCGGGTTTAGTTGGTCTGGTTAGGGGGTTAAAGCACTGGTAACTAACACACAAGCTGGAGGGGTTTACTAACACTTTGTGCATCAATCAATCAATCAATCATAAACTGAACACAAACACTGAAACCTGAGCTGATTTACGAACAGCCAATCAGATCTGAGGAACAGAACTAACTGTTGAATAATGTATCACAGGTGTTTACCAGCGTCCAATCAGAACACAGAATCTGAACCTCTGCTTTGATGAACTAAACATCTACAAAAGCACAGAAAGCTGTGAAAATCTCACGTAATAAGAGCTGATTATGAACAGAGAGAATTTACATGGAGGGCAAAATAAAAACATTTCAAAGAGCTAATGATCAAACGGAGAATCTCACAAAGGAAGATGAAACTCATGGAAATGAGAATCAGATCAACAAACGAGCGAGTTTCTCACCAAAGGTTCTCCAGAAGTTTCTTGGAAATCTCTTTAATCCCACACAAACTCAAACTCCTGCATTCAGAACAACACATGAATATTAACGTGTTCATCCACACGGACTGGAGCTAAAGAGACTCGAACTGACTGGATTAATTAATTCATTTATTCCTCATATATTTATTTAGGCTTAGTACTATTTTGAACAATGTCGGAAACTCTGTATTATGAGCACTTCTCGTGTTTATTAGCCTCTTTATGATGAATCGCTTGCTGTATTCCTCACTTGCGAGTCACTTTGGATAAAAGAGTTTGGTAAATAAACAAATATAAACGTAACCATAACACCATATCAGCATCAAAGGGTATATTCATGGCAAACTCACAACAACATTTCAATTAATCGTGCGCAAAAATGTAACTATTATCTCAACAAACAAAAAAACAAAAATATTAGAAAGAAATAAATAATTTGTAGATTATTGCTGCTGCTGCAATACAGTTCTGTGAGTATTTAAGACATGCTGCTGCTGCACAAATAGCATATATAATAACCCGTAGCAGATCTATACAGGTGGAGCTGGGGAGGTGGAGGGTTTCAGAGGAACTCTCAAAGCATGCTGCAAAATGCTCAATTGGATGCTAACCAGACATTTAAATGTAAAGCTGCAAGTAAATGCAGACAGAATGATCACATTTTTGTCCCTGGAGCACAAAAGCAGTCATAAGTCGCTGGGGTATATTTGTAGCAATAGCCAACAATACATTGCATGGGTCAAAATTATCAATTTTTCTTTTATGCCAAAAATCATTAGGATATTAAGTAAAGATCATGTTCCATGAAGATATTTTGTAAATTTCCTACCGTAAATATATCAAAACTTAATTTTTGATTAGTAATATGCATTGCTAAGAACTTCATTTGAACAACTTTAAAGATGATTTTCTCAATATTTAGATTTTTTTGCACCCTCAGATTCCAGATTTTCAAATAGTTGTATCTCAGCCAAATATTGTCCTATCCTAACAAACCATACATCAATGGAAAGATTATTTATTCAGCTTTCAGATGATGTATACATCTCAATTTCGAAAAATTGACACTTAAGACTGGTTTTGTGCTCCAGGGTCACATATATCTGTTTTACAGCAGTGAGTGTGTGTCTTCTGTGGATCTGAGGGTTATTAACGAGGAATAAACTCACCGAGCACGGAGAGCTCGCAGGGCGCGGAGATGTTCTGCTGTTTGTTGTGAGCGACGCAGGTGTATGTTCCCGAGTCGTCATCTGTGACGCTGCTGATCAGAAGGTTGCTGGCGCTCAGGAGAGAGTATTTCTTTGATCTGATGGAGAAGCAGACACAGAAACACCATCAGACTCGACAGACGCAGCAGAGATGAAGAGAAAATAGAGTCGCTGCTCTCGTCTGACAATAACAGAAGATTATTAACATACAGATCAGCTGATGTTAGAGTTTAGTGATCAAATACACTACAGAACCATTCAAAAGGTCCATACGGAAATGTAATATATGACATATATCTCCCCAAATCAAGAGTGATATTACCATATATACATTCTCTTTCAACAGTGAAAATTGTTCATATGTTAAGGATGTTTGTATTATATGTAGCAACCATATGTCAACAATATATTATAATAACTTATGCATGTTTATTAAAACAACATATATACAAACAATCTGAATGTTTACATGTTTTTGTAATAGATTTTTAAAATATTTAACAATTATTAGCTATATAATATTAGCCTCTATTGACGGTTTTAAAATGGATATACATGTACATGACATTTATGTCCAAAAATGTGTTACACATACATATTTGCATGGGCTAGATATATATGTGTTAACACATAAAACGGTTCCAAATTCTAATAGGTTTCATATATGTTTTACATCATATGACAATATATGTTTATATATGGAAATGTAATATATGCACATTTAAGGGGCAGAACATTTCCGGTATACTTTCTTTAAGTTCCAGAAAATT